GCCGCGGATTCGGGGTTCGGTATCTGCCAGGCACTTTATCATCGGGCATCAATCCGGTACAAAAGTGTAAAGCGCTTTGTGACTTGTGGTTGACGGTCACAAAGGATTTCATGTACACCGTTATGTAAGAAAATTGTTTCAGTCGGTTGAGGAACTACTCTTACTCGCGGTCTAGATGCACAAAAGTATGGTTTGAAGGCACACAAACAAACCGAGACCTGTGAAATTTAGTCATTTACAATCCATTTCCATATTTTCAGTTGGCCAAGATAGAATGCACCTTAATGCTTTATTTGCACTTCTGGATAACTGATAAAATTCACAGTAGGAATGCTGATTCCTGCTATGGGAGATGCGTGATTGGCTGTTAAAGTACATTTGAAGAACATACACCTATTAGAGTACTTTTATCGATCATCATATTGCAGTACATTAGCATACCTGCAGTCAATCATTGTATGAATATGAGGTTTAAAATTATTGGTCAATCAGTGTGGCATGTGTTCGCGAGACAGAACTACCTGTGAAAATACAACTCCGATTTAAATATGTTACGTCATTCTAATTAGCACCTAGTGCAGACAAAAATATGACAAGGAAATAAAAGCCTATGAATTATAAGCGGTACATGTTGTTTGTTTTTACAAAATGTCAAAAACAGCATTTACGCAAAGCATCCGGAATGTGAGTTGCTCCAATTGCTACTGAATTTGGTGGAGTACTATGCACTAGATACTACAGGTAAACGAATTCATTTCGGGTTTGTGTCCAAAGTAAATCATTTAGACAGTTTCTGCTGCAGTTAAAAGTAAGTACAAATGTCATCAATCTGTTAATCCATGTACAGTCGGAAAAAAGTTTTACAAACGGCTGGATACAGCTGTGATGTGCAAAGTAGCAGCCTTATCACAAACACCAAGCATTTTTTCTTTGCGGTTGACTGTTTGACCAATATTAACAGGGTATATATTATCAGTACGTTCGGAGCTGTCGGGTCATCAATGGACCGACTATCCATGAAAGCCACATCTGAACAAAGTTGATTTTGCAATTCTGAGCAGTCCGGGTGTGAGCTGGTGGTCACGATGGTCTTAGTTCGTAAATACCTGTCTGACGGTGCATATGCACTATGTAGAAAATCCAACGCAAAAATAAAATTCGATTATAGTACTTTCCGAGTGTGTAATTCACTGGACTAAGTGTGGAGCTTGAATAAAAATGGAATCTGTAGGATTAATACGATGAAAATGATGAATTCGTTGCGTAAGCGAAGCGTGAGCGGAAACACCTGGAGGTACTGCAGTACAGCTGTTCTGACCTAGCTTAGTCTCACTAGCAGTTCAAATCCATCGATGCAATCTGCGAGGTCCCGGGTTTGATCCCTTGTCGATGCTGATAAGACCCAACCACATCAAAACCAGTGTCCTGTGGTTTCTAGCTTTTTAACTCGCGCTTCATCTACACGACGAACTAAAAATGAAGAAGAGCACTCGATAATGTACACATCACACCTCATCAAACTGCGATGCAGTTGAACGTTCCATAAAAGACGTATTTCTAAATAAAAAAGACAGACCTTTCCATTATTGGAAAGAAAAGAGATAACTTTTAATCAAGCACATGGCAACGGATTACCAGAACACCATAAGGCACAAATGACAAATGATTTTCCGCGCATTTATTTAGGCTCGACAGAAATACCACTGTGCGCAGTTTGTAAATTAGTCAAACTGCTCGGCTTACTTTTTGATTAGAGCCAGGTGAGGATAGTCTGTCGAGACGCTACGTAACTGTCGTAATGGAGACCACATTTGTATCATTTAAAATTAAAATTAGGAATTTCTAACCGAACCGAAGGTGCCAATTAGATTACATTTAAAGCGAAGGAAACGAGTAAATTTAATTTACATGATCCTATGGAACAGCGTACATAGGCCCCACGGTCAGGCGATTGTCCGAACGGATTCGTGAACACCACTCTGCGTGGCTGAACACCGGAACGATTAAGTCACTCACCAGTGCAGTGGTTTCACACCTAGCTGAAACAAATCTATTCGTGAACGTGTGCGAGGCTTTCAGACCTGTGTACAAAGTTCGTGGGTGATTATCGAGGCAGGTTCGCTGTCGGATGTTGGCTAAGGCAGAATCGGTGGGCATTCGTCTGCACAACCCCCCTCTGTGTGCCTAAAAACAATTTGTGCAAGCGCTAAAGCTTCTCTGGCCCACCCCGCATACAAACCGCATCGTGAGTAATCTCGATGGTCGGATGAGTGGACAAACAAACATGTAATCGTGATGCACCCGATTTCCGGTCTCACGATGGAATCGGTTTTAGTAATCTGTTTTTATTTTATTTTATTTTCCCATGACAATTTTATTCCCAAGTAGTGATAGATATATTGAGATGTATTGGCATGAATACGAATCTCTGAAAACGAGCTTGTTCGCCACTCTGTTGTTCTGTTTAAAATGTTTCATCTTGGTCTACATCAAGTACAAGAGCAATCTCGTCAGATATGTGGCATCTAGAGCTCACCAGATATGTGCCGAAGAAGCGATGAACATTTATTTCCTGAGATAGCACAGCAAAGCTAGATTGCACGATTTTTTCCAAGGCCGATTTCGATACATCTCAACTGGTGCAGCAAATTACACTTTATGTCGTTAAACAGTACATCAGGTTATGCAAGAATACGACAGGGTAGAATCATCTCCCCATTACCGCTGTCAAGGTAGTGATAGTGTGACTGACAGTTCTTTTGTACATAGATCAGGTTTCCGTTTCTTGATTGCAACCGAATCCGCAAACCTAAGCAGCCGGGGATTGGTGTAAGTATAAATGATTTTAAATCGGTTTGTCAGGTCCGGAGTATGATACGTCATCAACAAATGCCGAGCCATGGATGACGCATACTGTTTGTGTGCTCGGTGTCCTTGGTTAAGGCGGGGGTTGGTATTGGTGAAATTTTATTGAGTGGTGGAAGATGCATGTGTGTGGGTCCGAGAGGTCGAATTGGAGAATGACCTTTGATCATGTGATTCGGTTAATCGGCGTCTAACCCAACATGGGATGCCCTCCTGGATCCGGGTATGCAACTGCCTATCTGTTCTGCCAATGTAAGGTGATCCGCATTCGCGTAAGTAACTAACCACGGTTTAGAATGACTCAAGGATGTTGCTCCATGACAAATACTCCGAGCATTGTGAATTCCGTATTGATGTTCTGCATTACCTCCGACTGAAGTAATTATGATAACCGCTTATACATTACTTTTAATTGAACACCTAATTTCTATTCATCACCATCACTCGGTTTAATTACTGTTTGATCATGACAGCATAGGTATTTACACGTATCTAGCACCAACTGCTTGCCTAAATGCCGCTTGCTAAATGTGCTTTTAGGACAACCCCAAGAATGTGTTCAATTAAATCCTGACAATAGACCAGAAAGTATGCAAAAATGCTGTCTCACATTATTAGTACGTACATCTTACCAGGTGTTCACAGGAAAACAAATCAATAATAAAATCAGCTAGCCAACGATTATGAATCTCTGCGACATTCACTTATATTCACCATCCATTGCGAATTTTGGATCGATAGAAGTACGTAATTCATTGGTCTCAAAAGAAAACTCATGAATCCAAGTTTTTTTGGTTACAACTGACATAGGATGCCCGCCTGCAAGGAGCAAATTTCCCTAATTCGACACCGAAATCCAGATTGCACCAAAATCAAACTTTTGTCAGTGATGGTAAAATTGATATGTTCCATAGTAAACCAGCATCGTTATCTAAGCCTTACATTGGAATCACCAAATTCGAAATTAACTGAATTATGTCACACCGTGTGCAAGCTTTTATTGGGACAAATTGAGAGGGACTTGATTGCTTTTGTTGTCAGTCAGTCAGTTGCTCTGGGAGTTCATCAAAGAATCGATGCAGTTTTATTGAATTATTGAAGCATTAGATCCCCGATTTGATTGTAACGTGTGAGAATAATGTGCAACACTGAGCCTGGACCTGGTCGGTGTCCATGTGACCCGCCCAGTTTATGATCGACAATGCCAAGAAAAAAATATTTATTGACCGTTTTGCATCTGACTGGTCGACCATTTTGTATTTCCGTCTGGTTGTCAATCACAAAATGTCAGACAATGCAGGTTTTGATCTTATTGCATGTTCCAAAAATAGCTCGACAACAGCCTTGTAATGAATTGTTCTCTCACATATTTGTGTCTGATGATGATAATTAGCTAGATGAACACTGTTATATGACTTGGAAACGATTACCAAGAATACTTGTATTTATATACGGCGGAAATATTTGTGATGACCAACAAGGAGCACTGGACTGGCGTTTCGTTGTGATTGAGACTCGTCAGTGGTGCGTACTTGAGTCCCTATCAGGACACTAAGTACGAACCTTCGGGCTAAGGGATGAAACACTTATCCATGAGCTACACCGTCAACGGTCATCACCTTTTGCGAATGGCTCAATCAACTTAGACTATCATTCTTGGACTAGCCCATTCAATTGTTCTCAGTCATCGGGCACTGTTAATGATCTTGAGTGTGTGGTTCACTCCTTGGAAGTTCGGTAATTCTATATCAATCTCATGCATTTATGTTCTATGGAAAAATGTGTATGCGCACATTAACAAATTCCTTTGCACTAATTTCAGGCTCCTTATCTTTCTCAATTAACAATCACTTTCTACGAATATACAATTTGTTTTAAAATACGTTGTGTCTGGGTTTCGAATTTTGAGCAAAATGGTTCTTTAGTTACACTACGGTATCCTAAACTGGGGTTGCTGGAAAACGCATTTGCTCGGTTTACCTCAAAATGTTCCGGTCGCACGAGAATGGTGAGGACAAAGTCCTCGTTTGGCCGAAATCCGTACCGTCTTGCAGTCGTTCCGTGTGACGATGTGCTTGAAATCGGAGAGACTGCATTAACGTCCCACGTACCAACGGATTCCATGACAATCTGAAGTGGCAGTGTTGGAACGACCGGTAGAACTTCAACCTCCAAATCCTCTTCCGGGATGATATCCTTGGGCTCTTTTCCCGGATCGCAGGCCATATGATCGGAGAGCAACTCCACAATCAGTCTGTGAAATTGAGAAGAAAGTGGGTATCAAACTGACTCAGAACGAATTCACGTTTTCAACTTTTCTTGTTATAATCCTCCCATTTGAATTACTAATGATCCTATTATGGTAAAAAGAAAGTTACTCGAGACCGAAACTGGATGACTGTTTAGAGCTTTTATGAACGAAAGTTCCAAAAGCCCAAACGCTCATATGATTGTTCGTTAGATGTGATCACCCATCTGTCAAACACGGTGTCCTGATCGAGGAAAGCCTTCTTATAATTCTGGAATCAGTCTGTTATGGCTTATGGTGGGGCCTAATTCACGTAATCTTTTCGGTGTCGTAACCCTATCATAAATCAACAATATTGGTAGTAATACAAACATGCGAGTTTTACCAACACAACTCTCATACAGTACAATGGATAACTTTCAGAAGGGACCGCAGGTGGTCAAAACTAAATGGTGAATGTGGACGTTGATGATGGAGTCTATACACGAGACGCCTGAGTCGATATAAATCGATGAGTTCTATCGTTTAGTCATTGTCGGAAACGGCAAACCTGTTAACGTGGTCTTCATCTCCAAGCGTCCAGAAACATTTGCTATTCGGTTTGATTTGATAATTTGCTTCAGGGTCGCTGTGTAGCAAACGGATGCGATCTTGGACGCTTAGTAATCGGCCTTTAAGGTGTGCATATATATTCATTATCCATTCTGACCTCAATAATGCGATAGGACAGCCGAATGATCAGTTTCCTATTTTCATTTTCAATAACCAAAGTCACGCAATACAGAGTTAGCAAAACAAGAACAGCAGACTTTCTGTGTATTATCTTGATNACGCTAACAGTTTCCAGGCTGCTTTTCACAATTAGCGAGACTGGTTACATGAGGATCATTTTTTATTCCAGAAACATGATATTCATCCACAACTCTAAGAGACCGGAGGAATTTCTATGAGAATTCAACAGAAGCTCTTTTGGGCGTTCCTATGATTTCCTGATTTCCATGTCGTTTAATGATGAAAACGAGATTGCATGTAACAAACGAATCACATATCTCGACGCTGATAGCACGGTTTCATGCAACTCGAAACATGTGGGTACTCTTTACTACTCGTTTTCACCGTTCAAAAGATGGAAAGCTTCACTGACCAACCTGAAACATTACGTCCCCACCCCGCCCGAAGGTTTCAATATTGTCGCAAAAACAGTGAATCATTTTACAGCACCAATAAATCGTGATTAGGGGCCGAATAAGGATTTAAGTTCCGGGTTAAATCATCTTAGACCAGACATGTTCAGATTGTATGTGCGTGAATCTCCATGCAACCGAGCGAGAGGAGGAGGAGGCATGCAATGTTTTCATCGTAGGGAAGAACAAACTGACTGAGTTTATGAGAACAGTGAAGTAGTCGACTGATTCACCGTTTTGAGATACACGATTACCAAAGTCGTTTGAAGCAGCGATAAATGCTTTGATATTAGCAAGCGATATTTTGGTTTATTGAGTCTCAATGCATCCCTATAAGGACTGCGGGCAACAGGTGTGTTCCAGACAGTGTGCGTACCTCCCTCGCATCAGGCCTGTGAGGTCATGAATTAGATAAACAAAGGTGTACGTCTGATGTCACATCTAAAGTTAAAAACCGGACCTCAACGATTAGGCTTGTTTCAGTTCAGATTCAATTTTTTGCGCAGATCAGGATGCCTCTTCGATACTTGTATCACGCATTACAGTCTTCAGTATTTTTATTTCAGATTGAAAATTTTTGTGCTGTCGAGGAAAAGAGTTTACGTTTAATAGGGTTGATCACAGATTTGAGGAAACACTGTATTACACGTTACTCTTCACCGAACTTAAATCGTTCGATTTTCAATGGAATAGTTTGACTGATTTCCATAATATTGCTTAAACTGCATTCATGATCTAGCAGCAGTAGATGGTTTGATAGTTTACCGAGGATTCTCAGAAAAATGCAGGTGTAGACTTAGTTTCTTGCGATAGAATTTACAAAATACACCTTTAAAATGATTACTGTTTAATCTCTGGATTTACGAAATGTGGATTTATTCTTCAAATAATAGGCCTCAATCGAATAAATTGCCTCGGGGGTCATACCGAGATTCGAAAGTACAATCCACGACCCAGCACCAGAGTAGTTGATCGTCATCAGACTGTCCAAACTTAAACGATCTTGGTTCAAGTTAGTGTGCGATCATTACCGCAACTTGGAATAACTGGTATAAAGAGACAGCAAAAAGTGGTCTTTGACATACCTCTGTTTCGTGATAATCGATATGTCTAGGTTTTCATCAAACGCTGGAACACCTGACTTCATCGGTGTCACCCAATTGCCGAAACGTATTATATCGGTTTGGAAATCGTCTTCAGTATTACGATGATTTATGAAACAAGTGTAGTCTTCATTTTCTGAGAAAAGGCGTTCAAATGTCTATTTTTGACAGAACCAAAGAATCAGTAAGTCAGTTACAGCTTTGATGCACGGCGAAGTCTAGCTGAGGCGAGATTTTCCATTTTATCACTGCTGTGATTCAGTACTTTGTTGTAACGAGAGGGTGCGAGTGAAGACCAAACAAATGTTGGGGAAAAGCTGTCATGAATCATCATGCGAGACAATGAGTGACAGGCACACCGGTCGATATTGCACCTTTGAATCGATCCGTGGGACAATCCAAATGTGACACAAATGCAAATGGGAGTATTGCTTTTTCCCCCAATGTTTTCGCTGCTGTTGTTGTTGTTGTCAGTAGTACCGGTAGTGGTGGTGGTGGTGGCGGTGATCTTCTACCTGGAATCGCATTATCGGCAACTAAACGGAGTTCGTGCAGAGAAGGAAGCAAGTTTATAAAAAGTGAAAATACCCAATGTCTGGTGTATCGACTGAACGGATGAGAAAAGCTGTTGGAGTTCTTCAACAGGTGGTACCTCAAACAGAAAACTACAAACGTATAATCTTTGAAAATCATCTGTAGTTGCCTTATGTGGTTAGCTTTGATTATAAACACCACGTTTTGATATTGAATGTGGGATCTTCAGGAATGTATTGACTCTCGTTCGCAAGGAAAACCTAGTGGCTGGATTTATTGCACAGTGATTCATTCATCAATCAGACCACCTAGACACAGTGATTGCAAAGAGATTAACATAAATGTAATAAATTACGGAAAAGTTGCCGAATGGCTGCAATAACATTCGTTTTATGATTGTAGCTAAAAGGAATAGAACGGCGAACATCCAAAAATACAACATGTTAGAGTTATTGCCTAGACAATTAAAAATCGGAGCTTGGAAAGTACACATTGATAGAACGCATTCCATCGAGGTTGTGTGCATTGGCACACACGGACCATGCACTAGGCAAACCGCTTAGTCGTTTCTTTTGCAGCTATCTTCACAACCGAGTGTCAAAACAAACCGTACCATCTAATTTTCGACGAGCGGCCATTCCTTTTGCTGTTCGTAAGGATTCGGAGGCATTTAGACCAAAAACCATTCAGCGTGTCCTATTCGGATAATCAGACAAGAGAACAATAACGTGAACGGAAGTTGTTTATCAGCAGTGCAGCACGAAAGGAAATTCTCGTGGAAGAACTTGCCTCAGAGAGGGCAGCATTCAATAACCTTCCATACTGAACTGGTTAATATGAATCCCTTTTTGTGTCTTCTTTTGAATTAAGCCAATATAAACGGCAGCAGAAAACCGCGCACTTTGCCTTGTAACACTCGGCGCAAAACCAGGGAATGATGAGCTGCATGAAAGTCTAACACTTGACTGTAGTTTCAGTTGATAACGCTTACCAAACATTTAGAGATAAGCTACGAATACAAAACATTGTGATTTTTCTATAAGCATATGGTACTGTAATTCCAGCTTCCCGTTGCCAAACCAAAGAATACGAGAATTTCACACATTTGAACACATTTTATCACAACTTTCACGATAGATTTCATCGTGGATAGAGGAAAAACAATGTAAACTGGAAAGCTCTCGAAAGTACAGTAGAGTTTTTCGACATATCTGAGTTACTTCATGCAGCCATTTCCCTGTATAGTTTTCATAAGCGCAAAAAGAAACATCATGATCAAAGGATGAGCTAAAATCAACTGTGTCTTAGTAATCTCATCAGCTGTGTACATACATTTAGATCACGTTTGATTTTTGGGTAGGTTAAATAGTTTGGATCCATGGACCCAACCGAAGATCAAACCCGAAGTACCACTGATGAAATGTGAGCGTAATGCAAACTTGAACAACGGACAGATAAACAGGTTATGAAAGTTTCCAATTGAGTTATAGCCCGACAGGTTTGTACTGAGATGAGCGAGGTATGATACCCACAAACAGCTCGTAACGGTGGGTTGTGATCTGTCGTGTATAGGCAAAATAAAAGATAGACCGGTTAGCAACCCAGTGGGGGGGGGGGGGGG